CCAGGTTGAGCAGAACTAGGTCCCTCGGCCTCTGCTTGTATAACTTGTGCTCCAGTTGGTGGCCTTCACTGGACTACAGCATGTTAGGGTCCATTTTATACTGGAGAGTCTAAAACTCAGCACAAGTGCCAAGTAGATGGGAAGGATCACCTCCCTGGACCTGCTGGTGATGCTTTTCCTAACACAGCCCAGGGGGCTATTGACCGCATTTGCTGCAAGAGTGCATTACCCACTCGTGGTCAACTTGTTGTCCACCAGGACCCCAAGGGCTTTCTCTGCAGAGCTGCTTTCAAACTGACTGGTTCCCAGCATGTACTGGTGCCTGGATGGATTCATGGACAACAGTGTCATTCAAAGGGTGGACGTACCTCCTGTCACTCCTGTTAAACAGCTGGGGATGCTTGGCCTGTGTAAGGAAAATGGATTGCAGAAAGCAGCCAAGCTCATGTGAGCTCCCCAGGCAGCATCTCCTGGAGATGCTGGAGGCAGTTCAGGAGTGACCAACCACCAGTGTGACCCACACAGTATTTCTGACATTTGTCTGACATCTCCAGTTTAAAGGGGGATCAGTCTTGCCCTTTCTGGCCTGGATAAAATGTGAGGTTGTTTTTAGCAGGAGGAAAACCCCGTAAAATCAGCCTAGTACTTTGGGGTGTGGTCCTGAGTGTGCTCAAGGCAACCACCAGAGAAGCACGGTCCTGGGAACGTTGCTGGCTAGGAAATCCCAGCCCACTTCTTCAGTGAGTAGTGAAGCAAAACAATCTTGGTTACTCAGCACCGCATTGCTCTGGTGGCATTTCCCTTTGTTTTCTGCATCTCTCAGAGAGAGCAACACGGACACATGGCTCAAACCGATCCAGCTCGTGTTCAGAGTCAGTCATCAGAGCAATCTGTTTGCCCACGTGGCTTACAGCTCTGGCCCGTGGGGACTTGCTTTTGGCAGTTGTTTCCTACTGCTTCAGTTACCCCTGAAACAGGTTGGTTGATTGCTCCCTCTGCCTGGTGTCTATGAAAGCCAGTCACTGCCGCCCCAGATGTACTACAGATCCCTGCCTGAGCCACAGAGGGATCAGACCGTACCTCCTGCAGATTAACAAGGGGATGAGAGAGAAGATTTACCATCTCACATTTGCTGTTTATTGTAAGAAGAACATTTAAATACACTTCCCAATACTGACCTCAGTTGTAAACACAAAGTATAGGACCGCAACAGAGAAGATTTTGCTTCCCCGTCTGTAATTTGTTGTCTTTTCGATTTGCTGACTACAGATTCTCATGCAGTGGTGTTGGCCTGGAAAGGTCCTTAAACAACACCTACTGCATTTTCCATTCTACAACAGTATGGTGTACAGCTGCCTTTATCGATTGGTCTTGTTTGTTCTTTAAAATGCCCACTGAATGTTGCATCGCTTCATTACCTTGACAGTTTTTTGAAGTATCTGACACAAACCTGCTGCCAAACTCGATGCTATACTTGCCTTACCCTCGAGGGGAAGGGAAGGACATGAGTCATTGCCCTCTATTTCTTTTGCATATTAGAAAATCATAACTGTGTTCTCTTTCTCTTTTCTGGAGGAAAAAAGCAAGTCTAATGCCTTTTTTTGATATAGACTGGACCTTCCATTTGAGTTGTGCTCCTGAGCACATTTTTGTTGGTGTGACACACCCAAACACTGTAGCTGAGCCTCACTGATGCTGACAGCTGTACAGCTCAGAGGAGAATTACCCCAAGTACTTCATAACACTGCTATGACACAGATAAATCCGCAAAAGGGATTTTACCTCCTTTTTTTTTTTTTTTCTCCTTCCCCCCACCCCTCTGGCATCTGCTCCTTTGGTTCCCACTGGACCCCCCCAAGACCTTTCTGTGGGATGGTTGCCCACCTGCTCCTCCCCTGCTTATGCCCCTACTTGAGCTCCTCAAGTGTTTTGCACTTGTGTTTACTTTATTTCAGTACTTGGATTCCTAACAGGTTTTCATAGTTTTTAAACTGTTAGTGGAAGTGCCCTTCACATATGAGGGCACTTGAGGTTGCTGTCGAAGGTTTATCAAGCTCATGATGTGGCACAACCACAGCTTCTCTCTTGGCCACTCTACCTGCTGAGATAAGGACTTCAGTTGGTCTGAGGTGGTTTTTCCTTGCCAAACCAGGCTGCCAGAGCCCTTCTGACTGTTTCTTGCTGCTTCGTTGTCCCCCAGGTACTTGTGAAACAATCATTCAGTCCTTCACTCTAGCATCTTCCTCAGTGTTGCAGCCAGGTGTCCTGGTCTGTGATTCCCTGAAACTTACCCCTCTGATTCAGCTTTTCTCTTTCCTTACCTGTGCTTCTGCTTTTTCTGATATGTTACTTGGTGTCAGGTCATTTGCTTTGCAAGCTGACTGGTTTTTTTTCATAGACCACTAGTCAAAAGAGTGACTAAGAGTGTGACTGCAGCAGCCTTGTGTACACCAGCCAGATGAGTAACTTCCAGTAACATGGACACAGGTGACCAGAAAAAGATTGAAGGGGAAAAGCAATCTCAACTCACTGCTTGTCAAGATAGCTTTTGCTCAAATCTTAGGGCACTATGCCAGTGTTAAACTTATTTACTCCTTCCTGATGATTTATCAAGTAATTATATGTCAACTCATTTTTCCTCGGAGATTTCCCTTACTTGCTACAGAGTGCTGATACCCTAAAATAATATTTGCAACAAAATACAAAATTCCCATAATTGTGACTTTTAAACAGACTTTAAAAATAGATAATCCTTCATGGCAATGCTGCACAAGCCAGCAGGCAGAATGGGTGTTGCTGCCATAACGTGAAGCAGCAGCTGCATAGGTAATGCATGCAGAAATTGGGCTCCTGAGGAGCTCCCAAATCCCCAGGGGTGGCGATACCAGTATGATGATAGGGAGCCTGCTGGCAGCAATTAAGGGTGACATGAAGGGAACCAAAGAAAGCTCCACTCTTGTTGGCCCTCCAAACTCAAAAAGCAACTTTGTACACATAGGCAGCAATGAGATTCCCTGCCCCATTTGGAGTTTATATTGCTCTACCAAAAATGCATTAATAGATTTTACATAAGAGATTTGTATAACAGAGAGGTTTATATAACATAACATAACATAACATAACATAACATAACATAACATAACATAACATAACATAACAACATAACATAACATAACATAGCAGACTTCAACATATGAATTTTATGTAAGCTGTTTCAAGTAGAGGGGATTAAACCATGTGATCTGTTTCACAAATTTGTATTACAAAGTAATAATTTTACTAAAATTACCTTAATATAGTGCAGAATTCACTAAAGACTAAATAATATAGAGTTTAATACCTCTGGTTGCTCAACACTGAACTGTTTTCTGTAGACTTAAAAAAAAAATCAGTAATATTAGAGACATCCCAGAGCTCCCTCTGGTCTCCAGAGATGATAAAATGAGTTTGCTTGCAAAGACTTTTATCATGCACAATCCTTGCCATGTCGATAAGCAGATGAGTGAGTGGCCAGACAAGGAGCACAGCATTAAAATTTCTCTGCTTGCAGAAGCTGTCTCCAAACCAGCTCTCACAGTGACTGCATCGACCCTGCCTGAGAGCCCAGGCACACGCGTAGCACAGCCCTGTGCTGCTGGGCAGGGGTCACCAGGCACATCGCTTCTGCGTTGGCAGTGGCGACAGCCAGCAGAAAGGTGCCCTGACGCCTCCAAAACGGTTATTCAAAAGGCTAAATGTGAACGTCCTTATTCCCTTGTTCAGAGTTCTGGGCGCAGCAGCTGGGCTTGGGCTGCCTCATGCCCTGCCACCCAACCCAACTCTTCTCACCCACCCCAGTCTGTAGCACCATTTTCCCTTGCTGTTCTCAAATTGAGCTTTAAACCCATTCCAAGAATACTGAACTGGGTTATTGACTAAAGCTGCAGGTTGCTGCCCACTGGGCCCCATGAAATTAAAAAAAAAAATAAAATTGGGTTCAACATTTCTCTTTATTTTCTCTCTTATTCTCTGTATTATTCTCAGTAAACCCATCCACATTGAAGAGCACTTTCAAAAAGAGTTTATAAACCCAGAGCTAATTCTCTCCTAATTAGAAGTCAGGATTCCTGGCAGAGGAACAGATGCTGAAACACTTTTCAACTTGGAGGAAACCCAGCATAAAGGTGCCGAAGATAAAACAGGAAAAGTTGTGAGGTTTTTTTTACCAACACTATTGTTGTGATACAGCTCCTGGGGAAGGTACATATGGTGCCAGCTCCCACTCAGAGGGCTGCTCTCTAATGGAAAGGTATTTTGCACGCCTGCTATGGCACTTGTAGTACTTCCCATTCAGAGGCTTTCCCATGGTGTCAGGCTGCTTTTCACCCTGAAGAGGTCTCCAGGGACACCATGGCCACAGGCTCCATGGCTTGGGAGACTACCAGAAGCATGTTTAGCATTGTCCCCTACAAGGCTGGCCATGGGAATACACAGCTAGTGCAGAAACATGCAGAGACCAGAGACTCATCGAGAAGTCTCTTCATTGCCCAGTAACTAGCACACTCAAGGGGACAGAAGATTTCAGCTTGGTGGGTTCTCCCTCTTATCAGCCATCAAGAGGGGAGGAGATAGATGGAGGAGATGGGAAGAGAACAGCTAATGCCCAGGGAAAGCTGCCTGCGTGCCTGCACCTGGGGGATGCACGATCAGCCCTGGATTCAGCTTTGAATGGGAAGAGGCACCTTCCTCACCCGACATTTAAACACTGCTGGTCCGCCCCATCTGCCTTTCAGAGGCCCCAGACTTGTGGTTTCTCATCCCTGTGGGCCCCCTGGAAGGCAGCACTGAGCTTGCCTGTCAGTAAGTGGTGGCTTGGGGTTTGCTGGAGCGAGTGAGTTGCTGATGACAGTGCCACCAGCATCAATCCTGCCAGGAACCCTGAGGAACTGCTCTGGGTCCTATGATCACTATTGAGGTGGTCTTTGTAGAGAAGAAGCTTGATGGTGGGGTGGGTTTATGAACTAGAACCCATGTGTCTTAAAGTACTGGGCTCGTCTAATCACGCTGTTGACGTAGTAGTTGTCTCTGTCACATGGGTCTTCCTCATAGACCTGGAAGTTGCTCATTTTTGCACGGTAGGTGCAGATTCCCCCTGGAAAGAGTTAAGAAGGAGTTGTTATGGGTTTATAAGTAAGAAATAGGTATTTAAAAGTAAAAATTCCTAGCCAAAAGGGCCATGCATCTTATCAAACTTACACAACTGCTTGGGAAACTGCTAATTGTGCATTCTTGTTGAAAAGTGACTAATTTTGCAAAATCCTTATTTCTATAGTAAAGGAACCCATGACTTTCTCCAAATGCAGGTGGGGAAGGCATATTAGTCCCAGAAAAGGGTGTAATCTAAAAAGGCAAGGATGGGAGACCAAGAAATAACATAGGGTGAAGAAAACAACATGAAGATAATACAGACTACAAGCAAGCCTAAATCCCAACTTCCTTGACACAATCAACTTAATAGCCTGCCACGATAAGCCTGTTATGTTGCGGTGCCTCAATTTCTGCCTTCCCCAGTGGCTTTTGGTTTCTACTTTATTTATCCACTTGACAGCGATTTCACTTGTGGGATGAACAGAGAAGAGGATAACTGGAGCCCTGTTCACATTCACTGAGCACAATGCCTTTTCCAGGAATCCTGGATCCAGCCATTCACCAGCGGTGGCCCAGCTGCTCAATGTAGTGGCCCTCTGTGGGCGTTTGTCACTGAAGTCAAGGGGCAACCTGCTAAGGCTGTGCCCAACACCTTTGCCCAGCCCTACATGCAATGCTTCCAGGCTGGGTGGGTTTCCCACTGCTTCCTACTGCAGCAAGTCTAACAAGGAGCTTGGTCCCCTACCACAGTCTCTCTTCTGCAAGCAGAAATATGGATGCTTTGCACTGGGGGCCTATGTCTATCTTCAGACCTCTTGCTGGTCTGCTGTTTTGGGATTGCCTCTTTTAAACTAGAAAACCCTTGTTTTGGTGGGTTGGGGGTTTTTTTGTTTTGTTTTCTTTTATTTTCTCGTAAAATCTGACAAACTGATGCTCTTTTTTCCTTAAAAGTGACACCAACAAATGCACAGCACTCCCATCAGTCACTGTATTCTAGTATATAACCCATTGCGTACCTCTCAGCTGCTGGTCCCAGGTCCAGGTAGGATGTCTTGCCCGTACTTCATTAATTGCAAGAACCAGGATAGTTGAGCACTGATTTATGTGTTCTTCACTATCCCACACTCCAAAAGGGTGGTGTTGCTGCCCACCAAGCTAGAAAAGTCAAGCAAGGAAACAGGTTTCCCTCTGAACACAACCACCACTGTAGCTTCCCCCTCTTTGTGCTCCCAGGCTGTGACTCCTGGAAGTGACCTAATTCAGGATAACACTTAAGCACAACCTCTGATGTCGAGAGAATGGATTTAAGTGCTGTCTCAAACACAGAACAGTTATCTGCTAAGGTAAAGCCTTGGGATGTGCACTCCATTGCTGCTCTGTTACTCACACTTATGGCCCCGATGTACCTGCATCAAGCCATACTTGTGCCGGTCCTCATTCCAGCCGTTGTCCAGGAGCAGCCCGACACGGCTCTCCTGCGAGATGATGGCAGCAATGAGTGCTGGGTCCAAGCACAGGTTTCTGGCTACTCTCTTAATCGGCATCTCGTATTTCCTCAGGCGCACGATGTCTGCCTCAGCAGTCCTCCGTACCATGGCGGGTCCTGCGGCATGGGAAAAGGCAGACTTACACACCCCCCCATCCAAAACCCTCACTTTCTCCTTCAGTGGGTGCATCAAAGGAGTAACTCGAGTTTTCAAGAAAACACAGCTACACTGAGATGGGCAGTGGCACTTGAGGAACAAGCACAGCCCTGTTGGCTCTGGCCACAGCCAGGGAGCTGCTGTGCCAGCACATGAGGTGATGAGGGGAAGAGGGCAGTTTCTCAGGAGGTGAGACCAGCCATTTGTGGTCCTCTTCTGCTGCCATACTGCTGGAAATGCAGCTCTGGAGTCAGGAAAGTGAAATTTCAAATTGATTTTTAAAAAAGTGAGAGATGTGTTACTAGTGACCAGCCAAACTGCAGTAACAGCTTTGTTATCAGCCTGTGTATAGAAAGGTGGGGCTTTTTTGAAGTAGTTTTGTAACAGTTTGGAAACAAGCAAGAGAATTCAGATCCATGCTTGGACAACTGCATTCAGGTGTCCAAGGTGCCTACATTCGAGGTATGTGGCAAAGCCCCTGTCAGTCCCTGTCAGTCTCTGGAGTATGAATCTGTCACAGTCAGCTGTGCAGTGACATGGGTCATTAATACAAGGCAAGAAAGAGGGAAATAGGAAGGAGTTACCAAAACCAGATCACCCAGAGGCAGGATGGCTACAAACCCTGGGACCTGCAAAATGTGTCTCCAGCAGGTCACCACTGGCCAGATCAGCCGACATGCCAGCACTGAGGACCTGGCTCTGGGCATCTTCCCCTTCAAGCTGAGAGGCTCTGGGGTTTTGTCAGGATGCTAATGCTAACGTCCTGGCTGATGAAGAAGCTGTTTTGACTGAAAAGGGATTGTGCTATTTTCCTTTGCTTAGAGGTTAGAGGCTGAGGATCCTGACTGTGGGTTTGTCGTCCTGCTTCCCACCAGGCCTGGAGGCTTCACAGCACTTGCCATTTTTGGGAGGGAGGTGTTGCTTTCTCCCTTTTGGCTAATTGAATAGCTGCACCACATTTAATTTAGTGATAAAGGAAGGCGAAGCATCTCTCTGTCAGGTACAAACAGGTTGACAAATCAAGCAATGAATGATACCTACCACAGTCTGGGGCTCTTACGGCTGTACAGGAGATCATGGGGGCTTGAAGAGCACTTATATCACCATAGCAACTGTAACTCATAGATGGAGCTGAAAAATTAAATGGAGGCGTTTGAACACGTAAGATATCAGAGCAATATCATACAGTGTGCTGCGAGTGAGTACAAGTCAAGCATGAGGGATTCATCCAGATCCATAACCCACATCACCTTGTGTTGGCCACTCTTGTATCATTGCCACTGCTTTCCATCAGTAACATTATCAAACAAAGCTAGAGAACAGAAATTTGTTCTTTTCTAATTTGTTGAAGCAAGTGAAACTAATGACAATTTACATGAGTGGGTATCTGCCCCATTAGGTCTAAAGGTTGGTTTGGGAGAGGGGGACAACAGCATCTGCACTTATTTCTGAGGGTTTTTTCCATTCACTGCCCTCCAGTGTCCATGACCCCTCAGACGACAGCTGGTGGTACCCGAGCACCCTGGCTGGAAACATCTCCTGTATCCCTCCGTAACTTGGTGAGGAATTAATTCAGGGGAGTGCTTGCTTCAGCCTAGGCACATTACCCTGCCCTCTCAGTAAGTGAGGAATGAACAGCCTCCATCAAACAGCCTGCAACATTTGTGAGACCATTTCTGAGTAGGCAGAGAGATCAGATAAGGTTAGCTGGGAAAATCAAGAGTCTGTGACACCCTTTTGGTGTCAGTCCTGTACTCCAGACATGCTGGTTTAAAGGATGCAGGTGGGTGACAAGCAGCCTCAAACAGCAGCCAAGGACCTTCAGCCACACGGGGTTTTTACAGCACCCTACAGAAAGGGGACCTCAGGCCTGACTGCATGCCTCCTCTCCTCTGCAAACTGTTCCCAGGGTGCTTTCAGCAGCAAACCAAATCCAAACCCTGGCTTACCGACAAGGGCCGTAAGGCCCAGCAAGAGCAGTGTGGGGATCATGGCGATGGCTCTCCTCAGCTGCCCCAGGAGACCTGGAAACACAGTGGTTTGCAAAACATGAATAAATCAGTGCTGATTTTCAACAGTTTCCACCTCGAGGCTCTGGACGTGGGTGGCAGTAGCTGAAGATGGGGTTGGGGAGCAGAGGCACTCCTCTGCAGCATGCTCCCCACTCCCTCCAAGCACAGAATGCAGCCACC